AATGCCATGAAGGGGCGCAGATCGAGTTACTGGGAATATACAGGGGAGAAGAAATTATTTTTAGCTGATAGGGTCCAGCGACTTTCTTCAGGAAATGGCATTGGGATTGGGTTTTCAGCGACTTTGAACCTGCAAAGCTGCGGTGAGAGGAACGTAGTGGGCAGAGGCATGGAGGAGGAAGGGTAGAGCAGCACTGTCTTTCACAGAACTTTCCACACTGATGGAAGTTTTTTATAATCTGTGCTGTTCAGTATGGCAGGCACTAACCACGTGTGCCTAATGTGATGAAGCAGCTGAATTTAAAAAATTTTATTTCATTTTAATTATTTTAAATTCACATTTAAACAGCCATGCGTGGGCACCTGGGTGGCTCAGTCGGTTAAGCGTCTGCCTTCGGCTCAGATCATGATCCCAGGGTCCTGGGATCGAGTCCCGCATCGGGCTCCTTGCTCTGCGGGAAGCCTGCTTCTCCCTCTGCCTCTCTATCTGTCACTCATGAATAAATAAATAAATAAAAATGTTAAAAAACTGACAAGCCTTTAAAAAAAAAAAACAAACAGCCATCCGTGGCTAATGGACAGTGCAGGTAGAGTATGTATGAGATCATTTCCAACATTTAAAAAAGTTTGGGTGCTTTGGTAAAGGTATTTGTTTAATCTGTTTTTCCCCAGATTGGCTTGCTCAGAAGATTGTAGACAAATGTGCACCTTTTTCTTAAAAAGATCTACTACAGCCATGTCCCAGCACACCACGTCTACTCCACTGTTTACACACACACAAAGCATCACTGTTTACTATGCAGTCTACCAGAAACTTTCACATACTTTATCTCAATTGTTATTTACCAGCCGGGGACAGAAGTGGGAATGTGGCCCCCCAAGTCTGTAACTCTTTTCCCCCACCCCACACCCATGGGTTAAGCAACACAATGAGAAGCCCAGATTCCCCAAGTCACTTCTTGGGGGACAGCTGACTAGGGTAGCAGTCTGACCTACTTTGGACTGAGCAAGAAATGCACTTTGGTTAAAACACTGAGTTTTGGGGTGGTTTGTTAGAGCAGTCAGTTTTAGTCAAAGTAAAGTAATACACAGCCCAGTTTTCTTTCTAGGGTTTTTATTCTCACCATGAGAGAGCTCTGTAAACTGAACAACCATTTTCCTCTTTAATTATAACTAGCACTGGTGTTATGATTCATTATCTTAATAATGACTCCAATTAAACCACTTATCTGAATTAAATCACCTCAATTTATTTGATTTTCCCTCAAAATTTGTAATTGTTAATTCTTCAGTTGTCAAGTCAGTGATCTCTAATATCCATCTTTAGTTCTAGAACCAGAAATTAAATTTAGATCTCATCCATGTTGCACATAATTAGAAAATGTTCCATTTCTTTTGTGGACAAGCCAAAAGTTGAGATTCCCTATTGCTGCTTTGACAAAGAAAATTAGTCTAAAGAGAATTCTCTATCTTGAATTTGATCCGTAGAATTCATGATTTTCATTGCTATCTTCACCTAAAGCAGCTAATAATTAAATTTTCCCACTACACACGTGGATTGGTATTTATCAGAAAGTTTATATAAGCATTGATAAAACTGTGAGGTAATAGGCTTTGTTGTCCAAACAATTCTTTGGTACGGGATGACAACTATTCAGAGGCCACTGACACTTGGAACATTTTCTTCTTAAATTTTGAATAGGTATTACTAAATTTTCTTGTTAAGGTGCCTGAAGCCTATGATTATTGGCTAATAAAGTCTGCTTTTCCCCCTAATAATAATTCTGGCTAACTAGTACTGTCAACAGTAACAGGAATTCTGAAATATCCCAGTAATAGTAAGAAACAGAGCACCTACTTGAGCAGCAGACTGGACTGCCAACCCTTACAGTAGACACACGTCAGAAACCCCAGAGAGACCAAGCCGTGTCCAAGTGGTTAGAACTAAATGGACCTAACTTTAGCTTTCCTTCACTACCTGGAAACTTACGTTCTTGATATTAAAAAAAAAAATCCCCGGGGCTGTTCTTTCAAACAAACCAAAACCAAAACCAACGTTGCCAAAAAGGAGTGGAGAACTAAACACTACTGATGTGAAATATAATGAATATTTTTGGCGTCCCTCAACACACAAAGCATCAGCCATTGGACACTAATAATCACTGGTATATATGTCTCTTTGGACAAACAGCATAGGATCTAATCAGACTCTAGGGTGTTTTACTGTTTCAACAACAGCTGCTTTATCCATCAACTTTCACGGGTTAATACAACTAACATACGGTTTGAGGCCTAAAAGCAGATGAAGCTTCAGGGCGGACTGTCCCCAATCCCAACGCTGTGTTCTGTGAGTCTGCTACGCTGACCACTCCAACTCATTGGCAGGCAGTGACGGTGACACACTCAATTACAGGAGTCCCATCTTGCACAGGAATCACGTTATTTTTATGCCACTTCAAATAAAAAAAGTGCTTTCTGCAAAAATTTCTCCTATTTTTTTCTGTTCTGATCAAACCCAGGTCTAATGGCTCTTTCAGCATCACTAACATGGAGGTAACAGATCATCCTTGATCTCTATGGGGTTTTTGTTGGTTTTCCCCTCAGCCCTATCTCTAGCAGAAAATGGGTAGAAATACAATCTGTGGAGGCACATAAAGCAAAACCCTCGTCAGTGCAACTGTGGTGAGATAGATCGGTTTTATCCAACCATTTCTGTGGAGTGTTTCAAAATATGAAAGTTCTCCCCCCTTAACTCTTTATACATATGAATTATTTATTTATTTAAAGATTTTATTTATTTATTTGAGAAACAGAGAGACAGACTGTGAGCGCCTGAGCCAGGGTGGGGGGTGGCCAGAGGGAGAGGGAGAAGTAGACTCCCCACTGAGCAGGGAGCCCGATGCAGGGCTGGATCCCAGGACCCTGGGATCATGACCTGAGCCGAAGGCAGACGCTTAACCAAATCAACCACCCAGGCGCCCCTAGGTATGAATTTGTAAGACAGTAACATATAAAATATTTCTCTATGCTGTAAATATACAGGGAATTTTTAAAATGAAAATTTAAATAGAAGGAAAAAGTAACAAAGGGCTGAAAAAAAAGACAAGCAGAGGGATGACAGAGTGGCATCAAATAGGGCAGCTCGTGAAAACAGCAGGAAGTACGTGTTGCTTCTCATTGCACAAATGAGGAGATTAAGGCTCGGAGCAGTGAACCTGTCCAGGGTCACAGAGCTCCAGAATGGTGTGCCCGGGACCTGATCCCAAGTACATCTCACTTGAGAGCCCATGGTCTTGCCCCTTTGACACTAGTATAAATGGAAGGCATGGTCACATGGTTAGGGAAACAACCCCTACGTTACGTAATTGTGTCGACCCTGCTCTGCTGTGCTTGTTGGTAATGCTTCTACCCTGCTTTCATATTTCTAATCCTTGCTTCCGTGCTCCTTATCCTGCTCTGCGCTCATGACGACTCTATTTCCCTCCACGTTCTCAGTGTTCCACTAGCACAAACACTGTTTCAAATGTAAGGTATGAACGACAGCTTAACACCCGGAAGTGACTTAAATGATGCTTAGATAATTCTTAACTATTTTTTTTAAGTTAATGATTTAAAAACTTTAAGTTCCCTCAGTGAATCTCCAGAATGTGTCTTAAAAGCTCCACTGGTATTGATTTTATAAGAATCTACAGTAAAGGTTGCTGTGTGCAAGCAGAGACGACCCCATTGTTTGGTTCCTGGCAACAGCTATTTATACTTCATTGTGTGTCGTTTGTTTGGATCTGGATGTTTTTTCTACCCATACCCAAAAGTATACTCTACAAAGTCCAACTATTGTTTCTTCTTCTTATCTTTCAAATCTGTAACAATCTCTATCATCACATTCTCATATTCTAAATGTCTGAGCAAAAAAAAAAGAGCAATATCCTTTTGGAAGAAGCTCAACCTGCTACTTAGGCAGATAAGTCTACATTTATTCTCTGGGTCTCTAAGATGAGCAAGGGCGAGTGGAGAGGTGAGGGGCGGCTGATGGCAGGAGCTGAAAGCAGATAAAATGAAAAGAGGTTACTGTGGGTTTTTTTTTTTTTTTTTCCCTCCCAAGGAACCCTAGAAAATAAAATTCCAAAGTAAACAAGTATTGAGAGGGGTGACCTTCATTATCTCAAATTCAGTAAAAACTTAATCTCCATAGATCCCGAATTTCTGAAACCACGGCCCTTGATCTCCAGCTGCTACAGTAAAGCACGACTTGCACTGGTCTGGCCACTCTTCAGTATATGCTAGGACAGAGGCCAGCAAAGCTCATACCTTTGGCCATTTTCTCGAATCAGTCAGTGAGGTACTGTGCAGTGGCCACTGACAGTAATGGACAATATTCTTAAGCTTATTTTTTGCCTTGTTAAAAGACCACAAAACCATGCAATGTGTTTTTAAAAACAAAACAAAACGATGCAATATGCATTACAACCAATTAAACCAACCATTTAAAGATATAATTAAGAAAGCACTAGCTACCTTCCTGGTTTTAAACAATAAAACCCATAAATGTGTCATTTGGAAAAAAAATAATTTTCCTGGAATTATGTGTTTCTAAACCTAAAGCAAACAGTGTTCTGAATGATATTGAAAAGGAAGTGGCCTCTCCTTAAGGGGTGGGGGTGGGGGGGGTCGGGGCAAAAAAAAAAAAAAAAAAATGGAAAGAATGAGAGAATATACAAAATGAACCTGGAAAGATTTCAGTCCTGAAATGAGGACTGGCCTCCTAAGTCCCCTTGCTGTATTAATTATTGCAAAATCCCTAGAGTTCTATCAGTTAATGAACCGCTAGAAAGAGCCACCGAGAGCAGCATTCAGCTTTCATTTCAAAGAACTTAGAACATGTGAGGGACACAAGTGAACAGAGAGAGCAGACACACGGCATGGTAAGCAGACAGACACGCTCAGCCTGGCTGACGGGAACACAGATTTGGCAGTTTTGCCCCTGTCCACAGACAGACTGACCTTCCTTGAGACTTTTCTGGTTGCTCCCCTCAAGGCATTCCTTTTCTTTTAATGGTTCGAAATCCCCAGCAGTTAAAATCTCTGGGAAGCCCTGTTGCTGCTTCTTGGAGCTATCGATCATGGTGAGAGGCTTCTGGAGACAGGCAGCATCAAGCAGGAGCAAAGCGCAATCTGCCGCGCAGCAGAGACCAGCGCTCAGCACACTCTGGTCCCCGGTCCCTGGATCCTGGGTCCTGGGTTCCTCCTCACAAGACCCCAATCACTGGGCAATTATGTCTTTAAGCAGCTGAAGGCAGCCATTCCCCTTTAGTTCCCAGCCTGACCTGCAAATACACTCATGCCGCTGGAAGCCCTAAACTCTCTCCCACATTGGGAGGCAGAGCCCCGGAGGCACGATGCTGAAATCCCACCCCTTTTCCCAGCCAGCCCCCTTCCCCTTGCCATTCCAGCTTCCCCCGCGCGCTGGGTACTTCCATCTGCAGTTTGATGGTCCGAATCATCTGACAAACACTGAGTCAAGCAGTTAAAAATAAATCCTGTAGTTGTTAAAAGAAAAGACTTTGCTGATACCTAAGAAGACAAATTGCTGCCTGTGGTCTCTCTCCGGCTCTCTATAAACACAGCCGCAGGCTGTGGAAATACTTTCTATCAGCCAGACGAGCACATTCATTACTCATTAAGTTCTCCAGCTAAACAAACGGCAGTCTAGGGCATCGGAAGGAAGCGGGTCTTCTCTCAGCAGAGGGACCGCGCCGAATAAACGCGCTACCAGAGTAACTGCCTAATGACAGAGGCACCGAACTCCCAAAGTTCTTTTGTGGCGTCCGGCTCTTCCTGGCAGAGCCAGCGCTTTTTGTAACAGGGACACGTACTGCAATTGCAGCTTTCTGCCGTCACCAATTCAGACCTGAGCTGCAGTTTCCCTCTGTGCCACTAGTCGGCTGACAGACTTAACATCGCCATGATTGTGCTCAGGAAAAATCTCCTCCCATGTACTCAAAAGCAGAGATGGCAAGAGAGCCTCGATTTCAGAGCCGATTCAGCCGGCGACCAGCCCAAGCTTAATTTCACGTGAGCTAGCGACACTGGGCACGTCTCCTGCAAGCCACGGACTGCTGTCCACTGAACATGAGGGATGCTGCTGGGAGGAAATCTCTAGGTATGGCAAACGCCAGGCAAATGTGGAGACAAGCCTGTTTTCAGACACATCAAATATATATCTACCCGCAGCTACAGCCAAAAAGCAGCTGATTAAAAAAAAAAAAAAAAAAAGGTTCAAAGTATGCTCCTTTGCAAAGGGTTCCCAGAAAAGCCATGAGAGGTTGTAAGAGCAGTAGATGGAATCCTTTTCCATGAGGGATATGTTTTGTTCACTTTTTTACAACCAACATCTTAGCAGGGTCCCTGGAATATTAGTTTTCAATAAATACATGTTGCATGATTAAGTAAACGAATTAAAGCAGGAGAAGCTGCAATTGGAAAACTTGTTTTCATAATACTCAAAATTCTAAAGAAGTCCTCAATCACTGCCCAATAGTAGTAATTTTAGATGAAATGTTCTCTAAAGGAAGCACATTTTCTCTTCAAAAGAAAATATACACATACATTTTGAATGTGCATCTGACATGATCCTTCTATGCGACAAAGAAAGGCTTACGTTGTCAAAGCCAGAAAAACCCGTATTGTCACCACTGAAACACAGATGGGGACTGGGTGAAGATTCTGTCCTTTGTCCCTGGTTCCGGGGCTGGTGTGCACTCAACCCGGACTGCTGTAGAAAGATAGCTATCTACTCTTCTCCAGCGTCTCTTGAGAATGGGATTACACAACACATGACATGGCTCTTGTCAACTGAAATTCCTTCTGAAGCAATGTAAGCCCAGTGTTGGGAGTCCACACCCCCGCAGGAACAAACAGCGCTGAGCTTATCACACTTCTCGAAAATGCACTCAAATGCTCTGCTACTATTTCTGATCCCAAGGCCTCTGTTCTCCTACATTGACTGTTCCTGCATCTTTAACGGAGTAAGAAAAGTAACCATTGTTTTCTGAGGACATTCTTTAGGTCAGTCACCTTTTTAGCAGTTTGGCGAAGTTTATCTCATTTAACCCCCAAGAGCCCCTTCTGACCACGATGATTATTGGTACATTATAGCCATTTTACAGACCAGGACCACAGTCACAAAGCTTCTCCGTGGCAGGTCTGGAGCTTAGCCAGTCTGAGTTAACCAAAGCCTGATTTTTTCTCCTACTGCACAACGCTTGCTGTCCTCTAGAATATGCTCTGTCTCCAGGCTTTCGTTTGATCTTGGGACAGGTTTTAACAGCAGAGGCCGTGACTTTTATGGCCTCCTGGTAATTCTACTCCTGGTGAGGGAGAAGGAGGGCCAACATAACCATACTAAAATGCTCTCATGAAAACATTTCCACTTTTCCTGAGAGCAGCAATGGCCAACTTTATTTAGCGCTTGCAGGGTGCCCCAGTCTAAGTGCTTTTCATGAGTCACCTCATGTGTCCTGCTGCCAGGCCCGGGGGTTCAACATTATCATAATTCACAGATGAGAAAACTGAGGCCTAGAAAAACTGACCTATTTTTGTCAAAGGTCGCCCATCTTCTACGTGGTGGCCAGGATTCCCAACAGGCGGCCTGGCTCCAGAGCCTACATTCTTAATTACTTTGCAAAAAGAACAACAAGAACAACAAACCCTAATGTTCTCTTGCTCAGCATGCTCCTTTTTAAACCCCACCCAACTGTGTTTAGGCCACAAGTTTAGAAACCTGGGTACATACAGAGCTATACCAGCCACTTCTATTTTTTTTTTTTTTAACCGACTGTGTGCGTGTGTGTTGAGTATGTTAAAAAATAAAACAGTTCTCTTTTAAGGATCCTCTGTAAGCTTATTATTTTTGCATCTGATAAATATAAAAAAAATCTCAATAAGGAAACACATTGTCCTGCTGTGGGTTTATATCTAGTCTTGTCTCTGTAGTTTTGAGAGAAAATAATAATTTCTTTAGTGGTGAATATGCCTGAAAAAACATTTAGTTTGCTTTTTTAAAAAATGTTAAATAATTTCAAATTCACAGAACATTTTTTTCCCCTGAATTATCTGCGAGAAGGCTCTGACATGACACCTCTTCACCTTAAGTGCTCTGGTGTGAACTCCTACAAACAAGGACATTTTCCTATAAAACCCCAATATAACCATCAATATCAGGAAATTAACACCAATTGATCACCATCTAAACCACAGACTCCCCTCAAGTTCCACTAATTGTCCCAACACCATCTTTAAAGGCAAAAGGATCCAGACCAGGATCACGTATGGCCCTGAGTTATTTTAACTCTCTTTAGTGTTACTTCATTTTTGAATAGATCCTCAGTCTCTCTGGACTCTTCTTTCTGTAAATTGTGAAGATTAAAGGCCAGTTATTTCGTAGAATTGCCCTCAACGTGAGTTTTCTGGTGTGTCTTCATGATCAGACTCAGGTTATGGCAGGAGTGTTTTTGGCAGGAATACCATGGGGGCAGGGATGTGTTCTTTGTATCCTATCGGGTGGTGCACAAATCCAATTTGTCCTATAACTGATAATATTTATTCTGATGAACTGATTAAGATGGTACTGGCCAAGTTTCTTCATTGTAAAGTTAGTTTTTCTCTTTGTAATGAATTATTTGTGGGACTGAACTATTTATTACTAGGATGGCCACCAAATAGTGACTTTGAAAATTTATCATTCCTTCTACGTTTATTAGTGGCACATCCTATACTGTAAGAAGAAGAATCTCCTTTATGTGGTTTATGGTACCTATTTCTATCACCACGGACTCAAGGATTCCTATTTTATGCAATGGGTGATAGCATGTTCCTACCCTTTAGTTTGATGCTCAAATTATTCCAGATTTGGCCAGTGGGAGTCCTTTCAAGCTGGCTTCAGTTTCTTATTGTCGTGACCCATTCTCTGAGCACTTGATTACTTTCTGGTACAAGGTATTCCAGGCTCATCTTTTATTTTTCCTGCTCCGCTGAGAAACCAAGGACTCAATAGCAGGTGTCCTCATTGCTATTAGGGTGTCAGTGTTCCCAGGTCTCCTCTGTAGAAAGTTAAGGAATATGTCTGTGAGTTTATGTGTGTGAACATACATGCACACACATATTTACGGCTCTGTATTAACAGATGTAAATGCGGATCTATATTTAAGTATGTACATCTCTATTTATATATACGTTGAAAACCACAAGTTCGCCCTGATGCCTCTAATTCCAATCCAATGCCAAAGGTTCTTTCTCAGCTTCTCTCACGTATTTGTAACCCTTTTCTCCTGTAGCGAGAATCTTGTCTCCCACGGTCTCTGCCACCCCACTCGTGGATACCCTGTTCATCCCACTACTGTCACTGCCATACCAAACCCTATGCAGATGTCTCCTCACCCCAAGTGGGCTCCGAAGCCTTCCCCTGGATTGCTGCCCCCACTCCCACAGGGCAGCTGCCTTGCTCAGCCCCCCATAATGTCTTTTGGATTGAATGAGGGATGAAGGGAGGAAGGGCACTTGTATTCTGAGTAAAAGCAGCCCAGAGTTACCCCATGAACTGCTTGCAGTAGGTCTGTCCTTGTTCTGTACTACACGTGCTACATCATCTTCAGTGTCGTCTGGCTCTGCTGTCACGTGGGACATTGAACTTCAAAGGATAGGTGATTAAAGTCATTTGGGCTATGATAAATCTGCTTCCACAGTGTTTGTGTGTACACACACCCAAAAGAGCTGTTTTCGTATGAAAGAGAGTTCCATAAATCAAGTCAATTTTCCCAGTACTCCAAGCATAGATATTTAATAAGCGTGAGAAAAACTCTATGGCTTGGAGACTAGGAATAATCCAGGAAAGGCTTCAGGGAATCGGAATAGAAACAAACATGGCTCAAGGGACCTACACGAAAACTTGGCAGTCTCAATATATGCTCACAAAGCTGCTGATAAAAAGATACGGTTGAGATGACGCTGCACCGCAGTAAGCAGAGACCTGAGAATATTACCAACTGCGCAATGTTTCACCAACGTAAAAGCATCCGAGGGGGACGGATACGATAATCAGTAACAGCACGGAAACGGATTGCTAAATATTGAGCTGTGCTTCTCCTGTAGCATTCTTGACACGGGACTGAGAGAAGATGCCTTTTCCTTTCATCTCCCACATCTTGGTACTTTGAACCAGGCCCTCCAGTAGCCCTCCCGCCGAGCGGATGTGGGCCCACCGCGGGGCTGCCTCCACGAGGCCTGGGCCAGTGTTCCAGAAGCCATGCAGCTAGACCGGACGTATCCACGTTACACCTCAAGTTTTCCCCATGGGTACCATATTTTTAGTAAAATACGTATTTGATCCCTAATTCCCCCCCTTTTAAAATTATAAAACCACTATAAAAGTATTCTATCTTTAGACAACTATAAATGGTTATGGTAAATCCCAACAATTTAATAATTATTAAGCCCAATTTAAGAATCCTGGTAATTAAGACTTTTTTTTTTTTGGTAAAAAAAGGACAAAGGGTGATCTCCGAAATCAGACAGCATATCTTAAAAGTCCTTCATTTTTATTACTTTTTAAATACACGGTATCAAGTGTGTAGTACTTCAGATATAAAGAGTTGAACAAATCAGCCCTATGGAAACCACTGTTTCAGGAGAAGGGGCACATTTTTCTGTTATTTCTAAGAGTAAAATTTTGAAGGACCATCAGTGATTTGGACGATTACGTATTGCAGCATAACTGGGCACAAGAGCCTGGTGACTTGGGTTGTAACGCGTGCTTACGCTCATCTTTCTGGTCGGCCCTGCTGGGCGTACTCTC